AAGAAAAGTGGAGTATTCTTTATTCTGATGGATGGATACATGTATGGATGCCGGCCGGCAAGTTCATATGATGCAGACTACGACAAGCAACACAGTCCACATTTAGGTCACATGCACTATTGGATACGTGGGTCTGGTTCATGTCAAAATGGTTATGGTGGCTCAAATCCCCACTTAAATTTAAAGTGTTCCCCTGGTTTCTATGTCGGTGGCTCAAATCATTGCTTAAAATTAAAGTGTTCCCTTGCTTTCTATGCAAGGGATAGATAAGTTTTCAAAAAAAAAAAACTATTACACCACCGAAAATGCCAAACGGAGACCGAGCTCCATGAAAGCCTTTATTTGAAAACTTCAAAATTCAAATTTTTCAGTTTCAAAAAATTCTGAAAATAAATACACATATACCTAGATACATAATGCATATGTGTGCAAATTTCCAGATCGAAATACATTAAAATGTGATCTACACAAAAAAGACAAATCTGGGGCTTTTTAAAATATGTACTGTTCATCTTTAAAGTCCCTGATTTTGTTTTTTCTTGTGCATCTCGCGGTTCAAGGTATTTCATCCTGAAATTTTTCACACATACACTTTACATCCATGCATACATGTATAAAAATTTTCAGAATTTTTTGAAACTAAAATTTATGAATTTTGAAAATTTCAAAATAAAAGGCTTCATGAAGCTCGGTCCCCAAAATGCCCTACTCTTACACCACTCACTATCTACCTTGGTGGGTGAGATCTTAGAACTGAGTCCTATAAACAGGAAGAGAGGAAGTAGGATCTTAACATCGGCGATGCCGCTGCTGAAATATTGTGAACATTTACACCCCATAATAGTATAATTTATTCCAAAGATTATCATAATCTCAACAAATAGTCCTAAAATAGCATATTAATCCATTAGGTAACTAGGGTTAAGCCAGTAGTAAATTTTACTTTGCATTCACCCATGGCACTCCTAGATCCACATATGAATTATGGAACAAATAATTAATATAATTACTTTCATCGAGCATTGTGTTAGAATAAATTCGAGGCATATCGTCGATCATCCGAGGACCAAGCAATAACACGAGCGCAACACCGAGATTTCTTAATAAGGTTCACCGATATGGCTACATCCCCGGGACCTGACTAGGAGCGCTCCTCCCATGACACCGTCACAATACCGCACACCGGCCACCTGGGCGCCGGCACACCCCGCCGGCCATCCCTACGTGTTTGTGCTATTATGTTGGCATAGGTTACATCATGTGTCTTCCCCCGATATATATGAGAGGCCTAGGATACCAGTGTCCTACTAGGACACAACTCCTACTCTGTCTACATATAGTCCAAAACCAAGTCCAACTGTAACCTACCTTGTACGAGAATATTCGACACAACTCTAACAAACTCCACCTTGGTGAATATTGTTCACCACCTTGAATGCATCCATGCGTCGAACCTACATGTACATTGGACTTGAGATATGCCATGAGCATGGCTGCTACTCCCAGACTTCATGTGACTCCATCTGCAACTATAGTCCCTTCTCGTCTTCTTCACCAAAATTAAGTTTCTCACTACTCTACTTTGTGCTCTCAACTTCCGAAGAATCCGTTCAACGCCATCACACACCGACCATTTTTGCGTGAAAGTGTACAACTCACATATTGGATGCCACATATAAGAGTTAACTGAACTCAACATCACTGCTCTTTCTTGACCATCTTTCTGAAACTTGAAGGAATCTCACCGTCGCCCTGTGTCACCTTGAGTCAAATTCGCAGTTGTTTCATCCTTATCTCGGGTAGTCTTTGACATGTCCCACGGCTATAGCACTCTGTCTTCTTCTGTACTTGTCATCTGCACTTTGCCATGTGCACTGAACACCACAGAATATACGGTCATGTACTCTCTTAACTTTTGACAATTTCAGACTTTTCGTCACTTTCTCAGATTCTCCATGGTCAACTCATGTCCATCAACCGACACTGATAGACCCAGTCACCAACTTGAATCTGGTACTCGTCAACACTGCTTCAGCACCCCCTACACAATTTGTTTGACCATCGATGCCTTGGCATGTCATTGTGTCCCGTGCTTACCGCACGCCTCGCCGTTATCACTGCGTCGAGCCTATGTTGTCCTGGTCGAGTCTCCCAAGGTTGCGAACCCACATCACTCAACCCCCACTGCAGAGAACCACCGGTCATCACCGACCGATGCCGAGTATCACGCCTCCATCAGACCACTGGGCCCCAGTCCGATCCACGTGTCTCTCGCTTTCCCCGCTGAAATAGGCTTCGACTCTCCATGCATTTACGCTGTAGCCCCTCCATCAACACAGAATGAAGTCGTCCATCAGACTCCAGCTCCACCTTCAACATGACTTCATGTAGTTGCGCCATGCTACCCTGCGCCCTCTCGACTTCAAGCTCTCTCATGTGTGCACCATCTTGAATCAACCCCGCGCCATAGTCTGTCGAAGCCGCACAAGCCCTCAGGCCTGCACCACGTGTTTCCATGCCCAGAAGTTGGCCACCATCAGCATCACGCTTCTATGTCGTCATCGCTGAAATCACCGCCATCTTCTGCTTTGACCAACCTCCATGCCAGTCCATTAGACAATCCAGTCCAAGCCAGCCATGTATGTTTGACTGCAACCATGCTCCACCCTGCGCCGTGTCCGCCCCGCACATCTCCGTGCATTGCTTGACGCCCTGTGTATGCATGATCCTGCCACGACAAGCTCCAGACTCTTGCTTCAAGCCTTATCGCACGTTGTCGTCCTTGCCTTGTCTCTACCCTTGGTAATGTTCTCAACTTGCTTCTTTTTTTTGACCCGTCAACTTGCTTCTTGGTACAGTCTTTAAGCACATCAACAAACAGACTTTTATATGCAACACCGCTTCTCCAAGAACCAGCCAAACTTGCCCGTGAAATCTCGCCTCTTTGTGCTCACACCAGCAGCATCAATAGGCCATTCCTTGAGCCAACCACGTACCAAACAGCCTCTGCCAAGTGCCACATCGCAGACCGCATCTGCTTGTGTGGCTGCCGCACACGCGCTCCTATCTACTAGCAGCCGCGTGCTTTACCAGGCCAGTCACCCGCACTTGGGCCCTGCTTGGCCTGCGCGTCCCCGCAGCTTGCTCGGCCTGCTGCCTCTGCCAAATCGATCCAGCTTTGACTGCTTTTGATCTTTCCGCTGACCTTCAATCGGACAACTTCGATCTCACCGCAGGCACCTGGCAAACCCTCGCAGCGCCTCCGTCGATTGAACACGACCTCCTCTGAATTAACAATCGCAACCTCGAACAACCTAGCTCATGGTACCACTTGTTACGCAATTTCGGGCCCGCTAACACTAGCGTTTCCGACCCACATGCGTCAACCAGGCTCAGCCAGAGAGCAACACCGAATTATGGGAGGCCTTGGGCCCTCTCCCTCCAAAGGACTAGCATGTTAATTAGGAGGGGACACCCCTGCCCTTATAAATCGTGTTATGTCTCCCCCCACATCTGATGTGGAACTAAACCCAACACATTGGACTGAATAAATCGCATGCCAATTAGTATTTGGCAACCTATTGGATCATGGCAGTCAACAATAGCTTCCCCTTATCTTGGACAGACATTGTTATCTTGTCTAGCTCATTGGGTTCGCACCAGCTTGAGGTTCGAGGCTGCCACCCATGCCGTATTCCAAGCTTCATCTATTTGTGTATGTATGTGTGCATAGCGTTGTCACCTTTGTCATTGGTAGTTTGTCCATCGTTTGATCAATCATGTGTATGTATGTGTGCATAGCGTTGTCACCTTTGTCATTGGGTTATAGATGAAGCTTGGGATGGATAAACTAATTAATACTCAGTACATCCAACAAACTAATTAAAACTTAGTACATCCAACAAACTAATTAAATACACATGATTGATCAAACGATGGACAAACTAATTAATACTTACCTCATAGATGAAGGATCACTTCAATAAGTATTTCCTCCCTTTCTTTTTAGTTCGCATATAAGATTTGGTCAAAGTCAAGCTTTGTAGAGTTTGACTAACTTTATATTAAAAAATATAAACATTCACAATATGAAATCAATATTATCAGATGGACCATGAAATGTATGTTCATATTATATAGTTTTAGTATTGTAGATGTTCATATTTTTTTATATAAATTTGGTCAAACTTTGTGCAGTTTGACTTTGACCAAATCTTATATGCGGAGTAAAAAGAAACGGAGGGAGTACATCCAACTAGATAAGGAACACACAATTTCAATATAATACATGAAGTTCGGATGATGTACAGCTGTAGTGATGTCTTGATAATTTGATATGTTCACAGTTTTCCATGCAACTTCACATATTCTACTCAAGTTCCTCATTCGTACACATTGGAGGTATTTAACCTATGATAAGTCCACAAATTAGTTAGCTGACACATAGCTTTTTAATATACATGTGGTTGCAAGGTTCACCTCATATTTGGTGAATGAAATATAATTTTCTTTCTCAAGATAAGCATTGTACATGTTCGGCAATCGTGATGGTGTACTTTCTCAATCCGTTTTCCACCCCTAGAGAAGTCCTCAAGATAAAATAACAAACTTTATACATAAAAGCCTCATTCGTATTTAATTTTGAGTTGGCGATGACTTAATTCAACTGGTTAATTATTTTTCCAATATGATTGACATAATTCCATATAAATCACAACAACAATCGCACTTGTCACCAATTTTGAGACAATTTTATTACACATCAAAGTAGCTATCCTCTTGAAATTACATGTTTAAATCAACACGTAGTATAACAAGACTTGTTTCAATAAATACATTTTGTTTGATTGATCTGCTGACCATTTTAAATAGTCAAGTCAACATAATGGCTCCAATCGATCAATCACTAACCGACTTATTTTACTTTGAGGAACAACTGCTTCACGGGTGGATCAATCAGAAGGAAATATGTTATCATTTTATCTGGCTTGTGCTATAAATTACCGGAACCATCCGAGGTGAAGTTTACTAGGATCATAGGGCGAAGCTGGAGATGATGGCGACGCCATGGCTTCGGGTACCTTGACAAAGCAGCCGTTGACCCGTGGCCGAAGCTCAGCGTAAGCTTTTCTGGACTCGTATCTGATTTGCTTGTCATAGCGCCGCCTCTTCCTCTTCTCCCTATACCTCATCACCTTCGCTGCTCTCTCCTGCATTGTGGGATAATGGGCAGGCCCCACCATCATCTCTGTGTCAATAGTCATGATTGCTTCATTGCTAATAGTGTTGGTGAATGCACCTCCGTAAAATGGCACCTGAACATCAAGAGGAAAATAATCATAAGATCGCAGTTATGTACTTTCTTAGGGTAGCAGATACGTACTTGATACTCCCCTGTTTATGAAGTATCTAATTGGTCTCTAATTAACTAGAAAATGATCCATTTTCATTCAGAGATGCACTTGATTGTAACTATTCTATTTCTGGACAGTGGAAGCTAACAACTCCTCTGGCATTTTTTTTCAAAGATGTGCACCGTCCAAAACAATTGGTCTACGAATATACGTTTTAATTAGGTGTATTATGTACATGTGTGTAGCCCTGTACATGTATGTACAGTTTTATGAGTTTTTAAAAGGCGTAACTTCATCAATAATTGTGATCTGAGTCCGTTTGGGGTGAACATGCCATGTTCAAAAGATTGATAGCAAGTAACTAATTAGGCAATTTTCTGATGCAAACTAACTAAACAAGGATCTTCTTTCCATTTTGTATGGGTTTGTTCTTTTTTGGACCCGATCTCGATCAGTTTTATGAACTCGGTAGATCGATCACCCGGCCACTACGCAAGCTATCGTGGGGAGTAGTATCAGTTATATATGAGCTACAGACTTGCAAAACTAGCTCAAGATAAAATTGAAATACTAAATAACAATCAAATTCATAATGACCACATAAAATGAGAAAAAGGGTGCATCGATCCAGTATGTATATTGTCCATTTCACAAAACTTTGTCAATTAATTACCATAAAGTGTGGACTCCAGATAGATATTGACAAGTTGAGAATTGAGCGCATATGTATTGCTTGATCCCATAAAGAGATATGTTATATTATTAAGCTCTAGCTAGCAGCTTGATTAAAGTCTTCCCCCAGCTGTGCCGGTCGAGTTGGTTAGTTATTGAACACAAGTCAAATTTTCAGTATGCATGTATGACTGATTACCTTGTTGTTGGTCAAATAAAATGAAATAAGTTTATATGTATGACTGATGATTTGACAACCCATACAATTCTGCATCAACTAATACAAAACACAAACTCTATATATGCCTCCATAGAAAATTAAAGAATATCAAGATCCATTCCCGCATATCTTTTTCAGGAGAACAATTGAGCAGCGTACATTAACAGAATTATGTGACAGATATATGAGATGGTTACATGGTGCTATTTTTTTGTAGTGGGTATAGATGGACATAAATTAGGTGGGGATTTTTAAGGAGGAAGCCAGGGACGCATCCATCGGCAAGAGATGAAACAATTAAGCGGTACTACTACTTACGATGTGGGCTCTTGCCGGTGGCTGCACTAGGTGAGCCATGGGTCGGCCGCCTGCGCCCACCTCCAGCGTGAGCCTGCTGCTGTTCCCTGCAGCTGCTGTTTCATGAAATGGTGTGGTCCATGTTCTGCTATGGTCGAAGTTGGCTGGCGGCAGTGGCACTGGGTGGTGGTGGTGGTGGTTGCCTTGGGCGAAGAACTGGTGCTGACGCAGCTGGTGCTCCTGATGATGGTGATGACGATGATGAATGGGCGAGACCATGAGGCGCGGGCAGTTGTTGGCGCCGCACAAACCGCATGACATGGACATACTGCTAGCTAGCTCCAAGGTTTGCTTGCTTTTTTGTTTTTTCTGCTGTGGTCTGGTGCGTGGAGAAGCCGAGGAGGAGAGATGTCGAGGAAGAAGAAGAGGCAGTTATGAGTACCAGTAACTACCAAGGTACTTGTAGTAGTAGCTAGGGCCGTACTGTGTCTCTCTCACATGCACTGCATATAGGCAGCCGTGAGCTCTCAGGCCAGAAAAAATATTCGATATGGCAACTATCAAAATATTGCTCAACTAATGAGTGGGTCGGAATAGATATGATCCCTCGATCCATCGTTGATTTCTTTCTTTCTTACGCGGAGGAGCCGGAGCCATGCAGACCTTGCTTGCTGGGAATCCCCCACATGATCTTATGTCCACACAAGGCCACTGCTAGATATTTGTGTAGCTTTTTTTGGTCAGCGTCAAAACAAAAAGGAGATGCTAACACAAAAGTCCGAGGGAGACAAAAACAACAAAATGGAAACCATGCCAATACTAAAATAGAAAAGTACTACCAGCTGTGAAACAATTTTCGTCATGGGGCATCCATGCTATTATCATGGGCATGGAAACTAAACTCTAGAATGAGAACCAGCGAGGACTCTTCTCCCCCAAGCTTAACCGGCCTCCTGGATCGCCGTTGTCGACTCCGGAGG